CGAGTTCACCTTAGTTATCCACTTAGCCTCTGTTTGGGCCACATTATTTTTTTCATTCTCATTATTCTAATTATTTTCAACAACACACTTTTCAATAAAATAATATTTTCCATCACATCAATAAATTTTCCTTCCTTTTCAACTACATATTCTCCATCACATCACTTCAAAAAAATGTATTTTCTCATTTTATTGTGCACCAAACAGGCTCTTAATCTCAATATCAAAATTCGATAACAATTAATTAAGTATATTTGGTCGAATTCTTCTAAATTAATTAATTTATCTCTCTTGAATTTAAACTAATAATTATACTAAATTGAGTGCTCACTATATCTCTATTTAAATCAGGGTAAGCCTTAATCAATAATATTCAATCACTAAATTATTCAATTCTAACCGCGGAAAACAAGAAATTTTGGGACAACGGTTTGCAAATCATGGTCATCCCTGTAACTAACAACTTTTTGCATTTTGGTCCCTACTACAAGTTTTTCGGCCAAATTAGATGTATTTTGCTTCAATTCGTCAATATTGATCTCACAACTTCCGAATGTTTCAAGTTTCAAAAAGTGTGCAAATCAATCATCAAACTTGCTTCACTCCTGCAACTTGCAACTTTCCTTCAATTTCTCTTTTAGCCCCTGTCCCCATTAAGGCCCTGTTTGACAGTCATTAATTTCTTTTTATGTATTATAAAATAATAGATTGATGGAAAATGTGTGGTTAAAAAGTAAGGAAATTTTATTGATTTATGTGTAGAATATTTAATTGTGTGAACGTGTGGTGGAGAATTGTACTATAAAAAACAATTTTAAATTTTAAAGGATGACAAATAAGGGCAAAATTTATAACATATTTTTATCTTTCTTCTTTTTAACTACACATTCTCCAATAAAATAATATTACACATAAAACAAAAAAAAAATTCTTTTTTTCAATTACACATTCTCCAAAAAATATCATTCCAAAAATTATAACATCAAATAATGGAAGCCAAACGAAGACTTAATCTTCAATTGCTACAAACCACCTCTAATTTAAGTCAAAATCCTCATTTTTGGTTCCAAATACCTGCCGTCCGAATTTTACCTACGATAACAATATTTTCACTAAATTAAGTAAGAATCCGTTTAAATTTACAAATATAATTTAAGTGTAATAGAACAAATAAATGTAAAATACACTTATCAATGCATTAGCACTATTACATAGATGAGTGCTTAACTTGTTATAGATTCAACAAATTTTACTAGCGAAAGAAATGAGACTTTAACAGTTCAGCTTGCGTTGTAGATAGCGATGTTAACGAGCCAAATCGAGCCCGAGTCCAAAAAAAAAGCTCGAATCGAGCCCGACCAAAAAAAAAATGAGGCTCAGCCCGATCTTTTGGCCCAAACCTTAGCGGGCTGAGTCGGCTCGAATTTTTTGATTTTTTTTTTAATTATTATTATTATTTCATATCTACCTGTTGCGGGTAGCTTGAAGCCGCTTGCAGGCTTTAAAAAAAAAAAAAAAAAATTTTAATACAAGGCTCGCCAGGGCCAAGGGCCGGCCCGGGCTCGAGCTGACCCCCCAAAGTGGGGCTCGGTTCCACCGATCCCGAGCCGGGCGTTTTTCGAGCCGAGCTCGAGCCCGAACCTCCGAACTTTTTTGCCACCGCTAGTTGTAAATGTGTAATTTGTAAAATGTGCTTTTAAGCACGAAAATGTTCTTTCCTCATCCTCGTACACATCCTCATTATCATCCTTTCGTGCAAAGAAACCATCTCAACCAAAGAACATATAGACACAGTTCCATGATTAATTCAAAATATCTATTCTACGAGGAAACGATTGTGCCGACGACTTCTTTTCTTTCACTTTTCTTTTAAAAAGTTTTTTAAAAAATGAAAATTGAAAAAAGAGCAGCTATGTAAAATATGTTAAGCAGCATAAAGTCCAATCTACTTAAATTTCACTTTTTTTTTATTTAATTAATAACATAAAATCATGCAACCCGTACGAGTTCTCACAATATCTAGGGAGAATTTTCAAAATAGCCGGGTCAAATGATCCATTTGGGTTTTTTATGTAAAAGTCAATTTTGCCTTTAATGAAATGATTTTTTATTGAAGACTATGTCCTCAAATTTTATAGTATTTTAGAAACTAGTTTTATTTCTATTTTTATTAGTCATCACTAGATGTTT